TAAACTATAATTAAACACAGCATATATTGCACCTGTCAAGAATGTATAAAATTACGATTTAATAAAATACTAAATTTTTAGACTAGAATATAATAAAATATTACCCATTTCCTTTATATTAAATAAAATGCTGTCTAGATTAATAAAATCAGCCTTATTTATAACATTATGTATACATATATCATATGTAAAACATGCAATATTCAAGATCTTGTAAATACTTTCCATTAAGCTTTCAAATTTGAAATTGTTATATCAAGAAGAAGAGTAGGAAACATCAAAATTTGCATATCAGCGGGCTAGTAAGACGTCATCCTCGGGTCTTGGCAAACGTCGATAACGTTCCTGCGTCACCAAATACACAGATAAACTTCCAAATGATATGAGTAGCAATCCTATAATATTTATCAACACTCCTTCAGATTCGAAAGCTGCGTATTTATCCCTGAAAAATTACAAGCAAAAAATATATCTTTATATTTGACTCTTGATTACTTTTTGACTGATCAGCTGCTACTAACTTCAATACAAAAAATGCTTTTTCATTGAGTCCCAATAAGCACGATACAATTGCACCAATAAAAGCTGCAACGCCAAAATATACATGTATCGGCATGTAAGAAGCTCGTAATGGAGTTTGCAGTCCAGGAAAGAGGAATGTGACACATCCGGCAACCCACTGTAAATAGAAGGCATTGACATATCTATTTTTTCCAATTCAGACTTATTGGACAATCTTCGATTCATTTACCTGGCAACAAAATAATATTACAGTCGTCAATCCCACCCAGCTGTGCAGTGTATACATATTCGGTATAGGAGGAGAAGCTAAGTTGTGGCTGTCAAAAGCTGCTACTAAAGCGATCACTGTTAACATAACAATAAATAACATCATTCCTGCATGCGTCAGCTTTAGTCGTCGTTTGCGAACATTTCTTTGTGTTCTGTAGAGAAGCATAGCTAGAAAGAAAAAACATGTTCATAATTAATATGTATATATGAATGCAACAATGGGAGAAAGTTATTTTAAGCATATTATACCATTGGCGTATAGAAACACAAGTCCAATAGTCATTAATAAAGGATGCCAATTAAATTCTAGGCTTGGATTAGATCTCCAGGAGAAACCGTTTCTGTAATAAGTTGTCCATATCACTACTAAAATTATAAGAAGCCCACCACATGTTTCAGCGATGGTGATAAGGGGAGTAAATCCTTCCAAAGAATGGGATTGTCTTTGAGGCGAGTCTCCTATTTGTTCCATATCTAAAAAAGTTTTATATTTTATTATAAAACTAGAAAATAGTGTATAGAATAAATTTAAAACTAAGATTGTACAGCATTTATTCTGTAAATATTTGTGTATCATGTAGAATCTTGAACATACCTAGACATCTTACATATTCATATGGATAATTTGACATTATGCATTAATTTTAGATTTAAATAATATACTAAATTTCTTTTCTTATGTATTGATATCGCAGTAAAACTTTTTAAAAGCAACAGGTCAATCAAAAACTGATAGAAGACGAACAGATGATTTAAGGTCAATATTTTTATAAAAAGTAATAAAAAGATAATCCTACAGAATCGTCAGTTGTGAAATATAATGGTTAATTTAACAAAAAACAATAAAAAACAGTTTTTATAATTGAAAATTTTACATATATGAATGATATAAGCAAAATTCGAAAAAGAATATTAATGTTATATGAAGTATGCAATTATTAGATGATTGAGCGTATGTTTCGTTATGCATACACTTAGAAACGTCACAAAAGTGACAGCTAAGATTTTTTTATCTTTAAGTAAACCAATGGCCAATCGAGCCTTATGTTTGTCAACGAGGCGATAATACTTATCGCAATTCGACTTATTAGGAGCAAGAAGGGCTTTCAACAAATACAACAAGGCATCTATCGCATACACTCACTTCGCTTTTTAAATAACAGCTGTCGGATGATCAACAAGTATTCGAGCACACACCTGTATATGCTGTAACGTCACGCAATAAATAGAACGTTCAAGTTTATCGATTTTTCCTTGCAAGAAAGGGAGATCTGTGCCTGAAGTTCTTTACACAATGAAAAATAAAGCAATGTTTAGAACAAATATTAATGATTTGATAAAGGGTAATTCACACTATGCATTAAAATTAGGTTATCCGCGAAAATTAAAACGTAGTAAGATTAGAAATTTGAATAAGTCAATAAAAATGCATTTTTATAAAAATATATGTAACATTTGAAGCAATAGATCTTTAAATAGTGCTTTCCTGATACTAATAATTCTGAATACTTTGTCAATATCAAATGTAATAACATATTCAACACATTTAATTAAATAACATTGCATTTATATATAAATTTATATATTACAAAGTATTTGAAAAAAGTTAAGTTTACTATATAAATGAGACAAATGCATGTGTTTAATTCAACATAAATTTATTATAATAATGTGTCTTCTGAACGAATATATTCTCCAATGTCTGCTTGGTGAAAGCAAATTGTTGCCATAGGATCCGCATGTTTGCAATCAGTTGTACTTTTTGCAGCAACGCCAAATCCCTGAAAGATTTAATGAAAAATATAAATAAGCTTTACATTACTTACTTACTGTTGCATTATATAATGTTTGAATTAAAGACAATGAGACAATTTTGCAATAAATGCACTTATCTGCATTTATATTACATTGTACAACACATTATTTCAACATAAGATTAAATTATTGTAAAGTCTATCAAATACGTACCAGTGGCAAGTCATTCATGGAAAGCACAATAACACCTTGATATTGAGAGGTACCTTCTGTTATGCGTCCGAGACCTGACTTTGTAATATGATGTCCATACAGAAATTGTTGTTCTGCTGATGATTTTACCCAAATTTTGTGCTAAAGAAAATAATTTAATGCATATAAATTTCTTTGTCTTTCATTTAACAAGCAAAAAATGAATACTTACTTGTGCATAAGGCGCCATATAATGTAATGCAGTAATATGCAGTTTAAACTTTCCTGATTTTGTGAATTTTCCAAAACAAGTACCTAAACTTAACAAGTTATCAGGTGCCACACTATTCGATAATGATAAAATCCTTTGTGATACATAATATACTCTGTCCTTTTTCTCTCGGAAACAATATATACCGTCTGGACGATCTATCAAATGCTTTACATTGCTACCAATGCTGCAACAATCAAATTGAAATTATTTATCAAACTTATACGTATATACTTACAGTTTGTACCATTTTCTCATTTAAATAGAATTATAAAATAAACTAAACTAATGAAAATTTACATGAAATAAATTTAGTAAATTGAATTAACCCGACAAAATCACTTACTATTTTGTTAGTTTCTCGAATACGAGTTTTGTTCTCTCTTCTGACAACTGCTTCATTCTTGTATAAAAACACCTTATTTGTTTATTATATCTTTGTAAAAGTTCTCTTTTCCACAGTAATAGCCAATATTTATACTATTTGAACGCGTCTCGTTCACCAGGTTATATTTTGATTACAATCACGGAGAAACACGTGCACAGAACGGATCTTTCGGAGCAGAATTTCTTTCGTCTCATCACCAGATGGCATGATTAATCGCGTTAGGAAAGGACACATGAGTATACCAATCTTCATCGACGTGGCTTGTCGTTTGGTGACCGGTTGCCCGGCTGGAATTAGTGAGCGAGTCGAATTGGAGTTATTGGAGTCAGACGGAGCAAGACGGAGTCAGTGCACGTTAGAAATTGAAGCAGTACTTTTCAACTAACCTCCTGTGTGCAGTTTTAATCATCGCTGAGAGAATAACAAGACTTAGAAAATGAATAAAATCGTTTTTTTGTGTGCGTTAGCGTGCGTAATTTCTGTGGCTTTCGCTGAGACTTGTCAGAAACCCGAAGTAGTTTCCTCGACATATGTGACAGAAGATGCAACGGTTCTCACGGACGTCGCTTTTACCACGCAATTCGTGTTGAAGTGCAGTAACGGTGTGAAAGGACTCAGTTTATACGCTGAGGTCGAGGGCAAGACGTTACCAGCAGTTCGACTGAGCGCTGATAATAAATACCAGGTAATATCTGTACTGTTGATTAAGCTATGGAATCGTCTATCATACCGCATTGATGAATTAAATGTATCTATATTAAAGAAATTTTTAATATATTTAGAGATATTCTATAACTTTATATTTTTAAAATCAAATTTAAAAAGCGAGATTTTCAACTCTACATATTTGAATAAAAAGTATCAAGAATAACATTTGCTTACTTATAAAATGATTTGCCATACTACAGGTATCTTGGACAGAAGACATCAAAAAAGCTAGACCTGACAAATATCACATAATATTGTACGATGAAGAACAGTATGCTGCTGTTCGTAAAGCAATAAGGAATGGAGAAGATCCTCACAATGTGAGTCCCTTGGCAGTGGTTGTTCTCAACAATCCAGGTGTATATCTCGGCCCTTGGGTAAATTCTGAATTCTTGGCTGCCTTCTTAGCCACACTTGTATCATATTCAGCATTTTCTGCAAAATACAAACTTCTAGCATAGAAAACTATTTTTTTTGTTACTAGAAAATAAATATTTAAAAAAACATTCTCTTATAAAATCATTCTCTGTACATTTTAATATTCATTGTGAAGAAATTAACAGCATCTTATTTGCATCCATATTTACACTATAATTGTTAAATCTTTTCATATTGTATAAATATACAGAAATTTTTATATTAATAAAACTGTGTATAAGACAAAAAATCAAATTTTATTTCAAATAATTTCCCAAACTCCACATTAAATGTTAAAAAAACATGCATAGTATACTGCAAAAATATTTTTATTCTCAAATCATATCACATAATTTACATATCATATAATTCAAGTTTATTCAGTACATATTTCGTGGTGGTGGATTTCCAAATAAGAGTATCCAAGATGATGGATATTTTAAATTCTCAAATACATTTTCACTATTTATGTTTAATACTTCAAATTGCATCCAGTTGTTCAAATAGTACAGCAGATCTATCGCATCTGTGATATTATTTCCCTCAGAACAGAATTTGAACAAGATAGCACTAGGAATGTTGGCAGTAGATAGATGATTGAAAAAACTCATTGCAAATCCACCTCCTGGTATCCGTAATTTTCCTTCTTCCGTTGAACCTGATGCAACCTGTGGTTCATGTAAAATCCAATTAAGTTTTTTGAAGAGTTTACCACTCTCAGCATGTATACTAGGAGAAGCCACATATCTCAATTTAAGATTTTGCGGTTTGACGTCTTTCATTTCATAATCATTACTGCTTGAAAGAATTATTACCTGTAAAGCGTACAATATGCATTTTATTAAAATAATTAATCATATAATAAAATAGTCAAAACAGTAGACTAATATCTTACTTTGGCTATTTTTTTGTTAGTAATGAAATGTGTCAGTTCCTCGAAGAATTCGGTCAGCACACCTACGTAGGGCGAGCGAACTTGTATAGCGACAATGCATGTTTCAATTCCTGCGTAAATGTCGATCTCCGTGCTAATCTCTCTTGATTGTTCATGATAAGCATTTGCACCAGCTACAGGCACAAATGCTGGATTGCAAATTTGGCCAATCTTTTGAAGGTGAAGATTTGTGATGAGTAAATCAATACATAATTGTGACACGTTTCCTACTCCCACCGATGGCAAAAGTAGCGTATAATCTTCTAGACACATATCTTGCAGGAATGTAATCATTTTTTCATTTACTAACACAGTTTCTACTTTATCGAAAGCGGAGAGAACACGTGAGAGGGACCACGTTGCGTTTTGTCTGCTGCGACTTTTTCTAGGATGTTTAGGACGTACAGGCCGTATACTAGCAACACGTACACACGAGGTCTGTTCTTTATAGCTGAACTGGGTGCACTAGTTCAGAGTTCTTCTTTCTCCTTCCAATGTAGAGGAAAAAAGATAAACTCTGAACTAGTGCAGCCAGTTCAGCTATAAAAAACAGACCTATAGTTAAGGCATTCCTGTGACCGTAAGTTCAGAGTTTATCTTTTTCCTTCCATATTGGAAGGAGAAAGATAAACTATAAACTAGTGCAGCCAGTTCAGCTATAAAGAACGGACCTCGTGTGTACATATGTACATCCATTTTACACAGAGTAGAAATACATCTCATATAAATGTAATTAATGTACTTTGTCAGCTGCGCGTGATTTTTTTCATTCAAGCATATTAATATTGGATATCAAATGTCGTACGTCGGAAATCAGACTCAGTGTGAATCTAGCATTAAGCTTCTCTCTAGTCACAGTCTCAGTTGGTTTCTGAACGGCATTTGGGTGGTCGGGTGCTCTCCGGTATAGTTTCTGAACGCAATCAGGCGAGCGATGTAAGGCATTTATTGGTGTGTACGTGATAGGTGAAGGTGCAGTGCAATTCGATGAAGTCGTATTATCGTGCAAACTGTCAAATTGATCTGATATAATAAAATCCGGAACATGCCATTGTAATCAATATATAGATAAAACACGAGGACGCATTCCATTAAAAATGGTAGGTTTATCAGTTCTCTTAACGCTGTATAATGAAGATAACCTCATGCAAAGTATGGAGCATTGTGTGCAAAGAAACTTTAGAAGTAAGCTCTAGAATACGCAGTTTGTTTGACTTTACTGCGTCAGCATGTTTTTCAAACTCAATTCATCTGCGAGAAAACATTCGGCAGTATTTACATTTTACAGGTGTAGGAAAAGTTGTCATATGGTGCCAATTGGATTGTACTGTACTTCATCTCTCTGTGTTTTATTTGATTTTTTTCAACATTTTTTATGTATTAGTTTCAATTTATCAACATTATTAATTTGGCATGATAATGTGTGATCAGTGTTTCGGCAAATTTCTTTTTGCACAAGAAGATGCAACTCGCAAAGATGATTCTTAAAAAAAAAAGCAATGTTTTTGTGACATACTCATGTTATTACACATGCAATTCTATGACATACTTCTATATTTTAAAAACGAATAACGTCTGTAAGAGCTATAGTATCATACATATGTTATTCTAATTATATTATATAGCTTCCACTTGTAGGATTAAAGAGGATCATGGTAAAGCGGATTGATGGCATATTAATGATGTGCTTGTGAATAGAATACTAGTACCATGTGTGGCATTGTAGCCGTCAACTTTTCCGCCACTTAGATTCTTATTAGCTTTACATCCTTTTGAAAACGGCAAAATATTTTTCTTGTGTAAAATTAGATTATCATGATGCCATGGAGAAGTTTCCACTGAAGGGTACAGCGTCTTTAAATTCTCCAATTACTCACTCAAATGCAAATGCTGTTACAACATATCATTCGGTTGATGCAAAGGTATGTCGTTACTTTCAATCTGCATCTTCTTGTATATATGTAATCTTAAGTCCAAACCCTTTCTAATGAATAATTATTATTTTATTTAATAATCTTGGGTGTTGTTGTAAGTCTTTTATATATATATATATATTGCATATATTAGTGATAGAAGTTTTTTTTAATATTGATAAATATTTCTTAATATTTATCTCTGGTTGCTGTTAATTGATAAATTAATTTTACATTAATACAAATTTTAGTACAAAATATATGTAATACATTTTACATTACTAAAATGCAGGCGCCGCGGAAGGCGCCGAGGTGGCAGAGGGGGCTACGTCCCCCCTGAAATTTTTCTGTTTTCTTCAAATATTTCATGACTGAAAATATGGAGCATCAAATATTTACATCGAAAGTCGAAAAATAAGTTTTTTTTTTCTTTTTTTGTCTTCTTTTTTCTGACTATTTACTCGTTCAATTGAAGTACACTATATAACAAAGAAAATTAAGCGCATTAAGTTAATTAGAACAAAAAATCTGTGCATATTTTTCGCACATTTATACTACTGAGTGGCCTACTATATGGTGTTTGAATGGAGTTACATACATATACATATATTATGAATGTATTATGTATCCCCTTTATAAATTTTGCCCCCTCGGATGAAAAATACTTCCGCGGTGCCCGCTAAAATGACATTTTTCTAAGATTTAACTACATAGTGTAAATGCTAAAAAAAACTAGCCTTTTAAGAAAATATAGAATTTATAAATATAGCTGATCTTGCGATTTCCAGAACATAAAATATGGTGACACCAGTAATACAGAAGATGTACGATTACGCACTGGCACTATAAGACGTGAGACAAATTTAAGTAGCGACGACGACATGTTGGATATCAATCACCACACATCTCATCACTCGGATAACGTGTTATCAGATTGTGTTCGCATTGATGATGCATCTTCCCATAGTAAGTTGTTCAAGCAATTTTTATAATTTTATGCACGCATTGTTCAGTATCAAACATAGACTTTTTATTTTTTTTTAGCAAACGTTGTAAAGTGTACAAGAAGTTTTACAAAGCTAGGCATAAGCCCATTAGCGTAATTTTGTTGTTAAATTTGATAGTTTTATATCTGTTGGTTCGATATATATATCCTAGCTTGAAATACCATTATACATTATCTCTTCCTGCTGAAGAAGTTTGAGAGGTGTGTCTTGATTTGTGCATCCAGTCTCTGACGTCTATCCTGTGATACCAGTTGAACAATTGAATCAAATTTAATACTCAAGGCATATCGTAGTAGCAAAATGTGTAAGTTAACACAAATAATGCCAACTAAAGTAATTAATAAAAAAATTAAAATATAGATACAAAAGAGAGATACTTGTGATGTAAATATATTGGTTTTTTAAACCAGCTTGCTAAAATTATTTCTAATTTAATAAAAACACTATTTTATTAAAAATGGGCAAGTTTTAAATGTACATTTTTTATCTATTTAATGAAATAATAATTTACACACATTTATCCTCCAGTCAATTATAATGAAAAATTGAAATTTATTTTTGTTTATGAAAATATTTGAAAGATTTTATTATAGTTTTCTCATTTTTCTCTTTTTTTTAAATACACATTTCACATTTTATGATCTATCGTACATGTAGAAATTATTGTAAATAAATTATTACATAAAAGAAATATTTATTATTCTTTATAATTGTCTCACTTATGATATTATAAAGTTTTTTTGCGTAGAATTATTCAAATGTATAATTCTCAAAAGTTTTCTCGCACGTTGTAAGTAAAATATTTATTCTCTTAATGAAATTGTGTGATCCATTTTATTAGTTTCAGTTGATTCCGATGATATACCCGGCATTGGGCAGTATGATGACTTTCATACCATCGATTGGCAGCGTGATATCGCACGAGATCGAATGCGACATCGTTATATCGTGAAGAAGAAGCACGATTCTATTTGGGGTCTGATAAAAGGAGCTCACGACGCGTGGTCCGGATGGCTATGCGTTTTACTAGTCGGACTTTTCACGGGAGTGGCAGCTGGTGTTATAGATATTGGCGCTTCCTGGATGACAGATCTGAAATTTGGCATCTGTCCACAAGCTTTCTGGCTAAATAAAGAGCAGTGTTGTTGGAGTTATAATGAAACTACGTTTGACGGTGGAAATTGTTCACAGGTAGATAGGATGCTTGATGCTTGATGCTCTATAAACTTGACACAATTTTGAAGCTGCGTGCTTCAAATTTTTTCTTCACTCGATTGACGTGTTTAACATATAACATTTTTTTCACAGTGGTGGACGTGGCCCGAAGTATTCAATCAATCAAAAGAGGGTGCAGGGCCTTACACTATTTCATACTTATTTTATACAGCATGGGCCCTTCTGTTTGCAGCACTCTCTGCGTCTCTAGTGAGAATGTTTGCACCCTATGCATGTGGCTCTGGTATACCTGAGGTAAATCTATTAAATTTTTTAAAATAAATTTTATAAATACATAAATATTATTGCATTTTAATATGTTTTAATATTTATTCTAATTCTATTTACATACTTTCTCTTTCTCAGATAAAAACTATTTTGAGTGGTTTTATTATCCGTGGATATCTCGGTAAATGGACGCTGATCATCAAGTCAGTAGGTCTGATTCTTTCTGTATCAGCAGGCTTAAGCTTGGGAAAGGAAGGTCCCATGGTCCACATTGCATGTTGTATAGGAAATATATTTTCTTATCTATTCCCGAAGTATGGTAGAAATGAAGCGAAAAAGAGAGAAATCTTATCTGCAGCTGCCGCGGCAGGAGTTTCTGTTGCTTTTGGAGCTCCGATTGGTGGCGTTCTATTCAGCTTAGAAGAGGTATTATATATTATATATTAATTAAAAGAAATTAGATATAACATAATTTTGTTTTAGGGTCCTTATTGTTTTATTTAAATTATTGCACATGGTTGTACTTATATTTTCAAGTTTTAGGCAACACACTGTACAAATGATATGTGTTTATTTTAGGTCAGCTATTATTTTCCATTGAAGACTTTATGGCGATCGTTTTTCTGCGCTTTAATAGCTGCTTTCGTGCTACGTTCCATAAATCCATTTGGAAATGAACATTCAGTATTGTTTTATGTAGAGTATAATAAACCTTGGATATTCTTTGAACTAATTCCTTTTGTAATGCTCGGTATAATTGGAGTGAGTAAAACTTTATTTACACGCAATATTTACAATTGCAAGTTATCGAATTTGCTAGAAATACACGTGTGAAATTTTTCAGGGAGTAATAGCGACATTGTTTATCAAAGCAAATTTGTTCTGGTGCCGATATCGTAAAACTTCAAAATTAGGACAATATCCCGTCACTGAGGTGTTAATCGTAACAGTGGTAACAGCGGTAATAGGATATCCCAATCCGTACACAAGGATGAATACCAGTCAACTCATTTACTTGTTGTTTAGTCAGTGCGGCGTATCAAACGCGGATATGTTATGGTGAGTAAAAAGATATATCGGCGATATATCATGACCACATTAAAAACTGGAATGTAAAATAATCGAGAAAATCAAGTATCATTACGCATTAACGTAGTGTAACGTACGTATGAAATTTTCTGCCCGACAGCGATTACAATAGGAACTTCACCGCCGTAAAATCTGCGATTGAAATCGCCGCGGCTGGCCCAGGAGTCTACAAAGCGATATGGCTGCTCGTACTGGCGCTGATATTGAAACTCATTATGACGATATTCACGTTTGGCATGAAAGTGCCATGCGGTTTGTTTATTCCGTCCCTGTGTCTGGGAGCGATAATGGGTCGTATCGTGGGTATAGGCATGGAACAGCTTGCTTATAATTATCCACACATATGGATGTTCAGCGAGGAGTGTTCGATGGGTGTGGACTGTATAACGCCTGGGCTGTACGCGATGGTCGGAGCCGCCGCTGTTCTCGGTGGCGTGACGAGAATGACGGTCTCGTTAGTCGTCATTATGTTTGAGTTGACGGGCGGCGTGCGGTACATTGTACCTCTAATGGCCGCGGCCATGGCGAGCAAATGGGTCGGCGATGCGCTTGGAAAACAAGGCATTTACGACGCCCATATTGGTCTAAATGGATACCCGTTTCTGGACAGCAAAGATGAATTTCAGCATACAACTCTGGCGGCGGATGTCATGCAACCTAAGTGAGTAAAACGATATACATTTTGTGTATACATTTGATGATATATATATATATTTTGTTTTCCTCGACTTTGTAGGCGGAACGAGGCTCTTCACGTTCTTACTCAAGATTCAATGACGGTCGAGGACGTGGAGAATTTGCTTAAAGAAACGGAGCATAACGGTTTTCCTGTTATAGTTTCTAAGGAATCTCAGTATCTCGTTGGTTTTGTTTTACGGCGAGATCTTAATCTTGCCATCGCCAATGCCAAGAGAATGATCGAGGATATTAGCAGGCAATCATTAGTCATATTTACAAACGGAAATAACATCCAAAGCCATTCGCCTCCACCTTTGAAGTTGAAGAAAATCTTAGATATGGCCCCCATCACCATCACAGATCAAACTCCTATGGAAACTGTAGTTGATATGTTTAGGAAATTAGGATTACGCCAAACTCTCGTTACACATAACGGGTAAGTGTGGAAATCATTTCTGTGCTATTGGCGTGCTCGCCGATTTCAACTAATATTGTGATCTCTCTTGCGCAGACGACTTCTAGGAGTGATTACGAAGAAAGATGTTTTGAGGCATGTGAAGCAGCTCGATAACGAGGATCCAAATTCCGTTTTATTTAATTAAACAATGCCGCTGCGACAGCCAATTTGAGAGACGCTTAATTCAATGCATAATAATAACGATATATACAGAAATAATTTATATAAATTCAATTAAAATTATGTATTTTTGCCTTCTCCGTCAATCTATCTGCACACTTAAATTATTACACTGTATGTAAGTAGAAAGAAGAATATAAGCGTGCAATAGACTTAGACTATTAAATTTGTATAATTTTTGTTTGAACAAAATAGGAATCTTAAAATTTTATTAATCCTGATCGTACTCCGATTAGAGCTGAATTTTATTTTCTGTATTGTCGATAAATGATTACTACATTGACAATTGGTGTTATACATAATT